TCTACATTGAGATTGTTCATTGTTGTTGTTGTATTAATGTCTAAATGTGTGCATATGTATAAATGTATCGGTTGATTGTGTATATATATATATATATATATATATATATATATATATATAGTCACATATTTTTTATATCTTTGTTATTGTATTCGGGATTGTGGGAAACGATATTTCGATCTCTCTGTCTGTACACACAAAGTGAAAGATTGACAATAAAGTTGACTTTGACTGACTTTGACATGTCCTGTGTCTCTTGTCCCTCTCTGTAGCGCCCTCAGCTGGTCCTAAAGTGTCGGTACATAAGATCTCCGGTCGCAAAGTGGGTCTCACGTGGTTCCCTGTTCCTGTGGAGCTGCTCCACGGTTTCATCCGCAACTTCACAATCTTCTACATCACACCAGACCACTCAACTGAGAGTGAGTGACACACACACATTTAAAGTTAACGTAGGCCTGCACTTTACACGTGTATGAATACAGTTGAGTGTAAAAGGAAACGCTTTACTCTAACAGGCCTGTTGAAAGGGTTTGTGAGTAGGATGATTACACACTCAATGGCTCACATTTTTTTGTCAGTGATCTTATTTCTTTACACTTCAATTGTAGTTCTTTAGGATTAAGTATGTAGTTTGTGTCCTTTCCATTTGCTGTTAGATAGATCACCATTACGTTGACTGTTAACACATTTGTATTGTTATGTTTGTGATGCATTCAGTGAATCATTTTAATCCTATAATACATCCCCCATTATTCTCAATACTAATCAATTTTCCACCTTTTAAGAATAGAAAGAAAAACAACTCAAACACAACCATGGAAACAGAAATCAGTTACAGATTATATAACACATGTTTCTAAACACACTGATATAGACTACATTTACCAGTCAAATGTTTTAAGATTATAGATATTATTCTTATTTTTGTGTCCTTGTGAGGGTAATTGAACACTTTGTTTGTAGATATCAAATTTTACTTGTTCATTATCTTTTGTCACATGCTCTTTCTTTTCTTTTTAAATCAGGAGTGACTGTGCCTGGTCAGGCTCTCGGGTACACTCTGGAGGATCTGCCACCGGGTAACTACGACATCTTCATGCAGGCCAACACCGACGCTGGAGCGGGAGCAGCTGGACCCAAAGCTAGAGTACACATAGGTGATCCACACACACACACACACACACACACACACACACACACACACACACACACACACACACACACACACACACACACTGTATCCTCAAAATAAGAGAACACACATTGCTACTGTATATCTTTAACTGTGTGTGTTTCTGTGTGAAGGCTCAGAGGAAGTCTCCATAGTGCTGTATGCCGCCCTGCCTCTCATCCTGACTTCACTGGCGCTGGTGCTGATGGCCTGCCTGGCCCAGAGCAAGAAGTAAGATCTCAACACAAACACATACGGAGTACAAATACTTTGTTTCTGTACTTAAGTACATTTTCCTGGTATCAGTACTTTACTCAACTACTTATTTTTCTGACGACTTTTTACTCTGACTTCTTACATTTTTAACATGCACTTTTTACTTCTTACATTTTCAAAACAGTCTCGTTTCTTTAGTTTTAATCTGTGTTTTGTGGCGTGATCATTATTATTTAGAGTCATTGCGTGCCTATTGATTTGAACACGATCCGTGTATCCATCATTTCCTGCTCTTCTCTAAAGAAGAGGGACCAATGAAAACGTTGTCATGTTGCCGTTGTTCAGCATCGAAACATTCAGCTAACAATGACATTATTGTTCTCTTAATATAAAGGGAGGTCAGGTACTCTTTAAAACAGCTGGTAGTTATGGGTACTTTTTACTTAACCCTTCTCTTGCGTTTCGGGTCAAAAGTGACAGTGACTTTTTTTTTATCATAAATATTGTGTTTTTCATCCAATTGCCTCAAGACCTTATGTTATCCTCCACACTAGGCCTCTAAACATATACAATTGATGATCACTTGGAATTGACCGCCATAGAAAATGAATGGGTATGAGTATATTATGTCCATCCTGCAGATGGAAAACATCTCCACACACACACACACACACACACACACACGCACACGCACACA